CCAAGCACATCGTTACCAAGCACAATGCCCAGGTTGCATGGCACGATATAGAACACTGCATTCAGATGCAGGCTGACTGGCTGATCGTCAACGCGTCCAGTCATGTGAGGTCAGWTCACAACGCTCGGTCGGCGGTGACAGTGCCCTTGGGAAGGCTCCAGAGAGTTTGACGTCGGCTGGGGACCTCTTGATCGACTTGAGTGAGTCTGCGACCTCTGGCGATATAATTGATCGATCGGCGCCAGTGTCGATCTTGGCTTCCAGGTCAATGCCGTTCACCTTGACTGGCAAGACGAAGCCTGTCGCAGACGTGGACACCAAATTAGTTATTGCTGCTACCACCAGGCCGCCCATACTGGCCGCTGGCGCCGCTGCCGCTATTGTTGCTGCTGCCGTTGCCAGAGGCGGGAGGTTGGGTGGACTTGGAGTCCTTGTGTWGAGCGCCWTTGTTCTTGTTGTAAGAGCGATTGGCGGTGCCGGACGACGGTCCTGCCTGGTCCTTGGGAGAGTTGGACTTCCCGTTGTTGTTACCGTTCTGGTTGTTGTTGGACTTGGGAGGCTGTWGTTGGCCGTCGGCGGGACGTTGGCTGTTRTCGGCAGATTGTTTGTTGTTGTTRTTACGATGATGATACTGCTTCTTGCCGTWGCCATTGTTGTTRYTGTTSTTGGCAGGCTGCTTGTTGATGTTATCAATCTTCATCTGGAACTGATTAGTGTCCAAGTAACGAACAAGCTTGGATTGCCAGGCGGCCGTGATCGTAACGTCCGCTAGAGGCGCCCTTGACTTGCTGACTGTGAGGAAGTCGTGAGGCATGCCATCTGCCAAGAGTGAKGTGATGGCGGGGGCAGGCAGCTTACTGACCAACATGTCACACACGTCGCTGGCTGTGACATCAGTAAACTGGCAGTACTGGTTAACCTCCAAGAAGAACAAGGCCACGCTCATCTCGTTGCCCACGACTTTGTTGAAGTCRTAKTCACGTATCCTCATAGCGCAGAKGGCCTTGGCAGCCGTAGCCACGTAACACRTCTTSATGACGAGCGCACAGAACTGGTCGGCSGTCTTGGGAGGCRCAAAGGTGCTGACACCATCCWTGGTGAGGCTGACGATGAGKCGAGTGACGGCGTCACGGAARAACTCGTTGTGCTTCTTCAAGTGCGTGAAGGCTTGGTCAATGATGTCCTCAGAACAATCCACGGACGGGAGGTTGAAGGTGGTATGGATCAGCGAGGTAGCGTGTGGAGGGGACAAACCAGCAAACCTGAGGTGAAGATTGGAGATATCCTGGTTGCACTCATGAGGTGGAACGTCCACCCATCGCGCGTCAGCGAGCAGTTGAGTACTTCGCGCCGACTCTTCGTTGCAGGACGCAGTGTCTGGGAGACGACCGCTCTCAGGGCACGTGGCCTAGCCTCGC